TTTGCTCACTCTTGGCTCTCTCTCTGAGCTTCATGAGGTCGTCACCTGAAATTGTTTCCAACAGTCTTGAAGGAGCACTTGTTGGGCCTTTGGCCTTCACTCTGAGCTCCATCTCACCCCAAACCATCTCCATTGGGTTTAGGTCAGGTGACTGTGGAGGCCAGATCACCTGGTCAGCACTCCATCACTCTCCTTCTTGGTCAGATAGCTCTTACACAGCCTGGAAGTGTGTTTGGACTCATTGTCCTTTCAAAAATAAAATAAATGATGGTCCAACTAAATGCAAACCAGATGGGATTTCAAATACAGCTGTCAGCTGTGTCCCATCATGACTTCTGCACAACACAACTGATGGTCCCAACCTCATTAAGAAAGCAAGAAATCCCACCAATGACCCCTGACAGGCTCACCTGTGAGGTGAAACCATTTCAGGTGACGACATCATGGAGCTCACTGAGAGAAGGCCGAGGGTTTGCAGCGCTGTCAACAAAGCAAAGGGTGTCTACTTTCAGGAATCTTAAATATAAGACTTATTTAGAGGTATTTTTGATTTTTCTTTGATACGTAATTCCATATATCTGGCTTCATACACTTGATGTCTTCAGTTTGTGTCTACGATGTTGAAAGTAGTAAAAATAAAGAAAAACCATTAAATGAGTAGGTGTGTCCAAACTTTTGACTGGTAGGTACATCAGCCAGCATTTCATTCCCATTTAATCCCACTGGATTCTGTGGCCTTTCCATCTAATGACATCTGTCTTTCCAGCGACATCACGTCCTATTTAAGTAACACGTTTTTTTCCATGTAAATCTGCATTCAGTATTCAGATTTAATCATTAGACTGTATTGCGTCTTCAAATGGTAAATGGACTGAAAGAGGAAAAACAGAGCTACAGTCAAGGTCGGCGTGGGTCAGTGGGGCTTTAGGCACAGCTGCACATGTTCTTACATTTTGGTTGCTGTACTTCAGCATCTACAAAAAAATGAGTGAGCATATAGGCAGAGATGTTTTTTTTAAATTGGCATGCAATTTTAAATCCAACGTTTCTATCGGCTCAACAAACACAGCAAACACACAAACTGTTTGTGTGCAGTTTTATACATAGTGTGCTGCAGCGAAAGGTCCAGCTGCTGAATCTCGCTGGGAGAAAAAAGAAAGAGCCAACTTCACTCAGAGATGGAGGAAGATAAGAAAGCCAGGACAGGAAGAAGAGAGCTTAGATTTAAAGGCAAAGACTGTCCAGTCGTTTTGATAAACTGGAAATTGAAAGCTTACATGTAAACACTCGTGTTTTTAAATCAGCTACTGGATGTGTACATGTGACATTATGTTTTTCATATTGTGAAACATGCTGCAAAAGACACAGACAGACACAGCTCGCTAACTTTGTGTTATTGAAAGTGTGCATGAAAACGCTGCACTACAGGTCAGTGCAGGATAAACACATAACGTGATGGATTTAAAGTACAGACCAGTGACTAGTGCACAGTGGCTGTGGTGCTCATGGCCAGTTTCTTTCTCAGGATATGCCAAACTGTAGATTTAGCCCTGTTGTGTTACTTTCTCAGTTGGTTTTTGGTCTGTTCTCCTGTTTCGCAGCTTGTTTCACCTGCATGGAGAGCTCCTTTGACAGCATGCAAGCACAACACCTCAACTCCAGGCCTTTTATCTGCTTACATGATAATGACATAAAGAACGAATTGCCCACACCTGCCAATGTCAAATGTCCAATTACTTTTGGTCCCTTTAAAAAGAGGGTGGCACATGTTAAGGAGCTAAAATTCCCACTGTTCCCAAGGCCACTGTTCACAGGTTGTCCTAGTTTCGATTATGCATGTGAACTGTTTATAGTGTTGGGGAAATCTGCAGTCAGCACATCTGCAGGCACAGTCCCTGGTTGGACGTTTTAAAGGGATACAGCAAAGATCAATCTAATGAGTCTGCATGCGCGCGCACACACACACACGAGATAATGGAGATGCATGTTAGAAATGGCATGTTATCCAGCCACAGCACAGCAGGCTGATTTACACCAGTGTCCACAGCCCTGTTTTTGTTCCACCTCCAGGATCTGTTATGATTTGTATGCAGATGGTAAACGGTTCCATTTCTGAGGGCCTTCAAATGAAAACGCTGACTGACCAAATAATGTGTTGTACTTTGGTAGTCTGCAGGCTCCATGATCCTCTGGTCCCAGCTCCTGTACGATATTCAAACTCATCCACTTTTTGGATTTCTCTCTGATCTATCACAATGGTTCAAGTTCATCAAATTTTATTTGCCACATGCAGTAAACTGCAGTGAAATGAACCCGCCCCCCGACCTTAAAAGTTATTCCAGACTTTACACCGGATTGTAAAACACCCTGAGAGCGTTTTGTTACAGTTCAGAGTCAAAGAGTGATCGCTGAACCACCGAGACACTCCCACCACCTCTGTTCAGCTCTGCTGCCTGTCGTGGAGTCTTTGCAGATACATATGTAATAGCATCATCTGCATACATCTGACACTGGACACCTTTACAACTGTCCATAAGTCACTGATGTAGAAACAGAAAAGCAGCAGTCCTAAAACGGACCCCTGTGGAACTCCCATACAATTTTGAAAGCTTGATTTCATTACATGAACTCTTCTCTATTTGCAGATATGAGCTGAGACATTTTGGACTAAAGGTCTTATTATTACAGGTAAGTATTCAGAATAGCCCACCCTGCACAGGTATCAGTCTGTCACCTTCATCTGCCACAGGCTGTCAAAGCTACAGCACTGCAATGTCTTTAACTAAGATTTGTTTCGTATGATTGAGTTATTGATTTCTCTTATGCTATAACTTCAAAAAACTCAAATATGTCATAGTAACAAACCCATGGCAGACCTGACCACACTAAACATTCTAAACACGCTTTTATTCCGGTTGTCGTTCTTTTACACGCAGCTGCAGCTTTTCAGCTGAACACACACCAACAACAACTCAGTCAGGACCCAGTACGGCTCTAATGCAGCTGCGGTGTGTCGGCCTCCCTGCAGCGCTGCTGTCAAACATCATTCCCACACACTGGGTGACACAGATATTATGTCAATATGCAGAATCTCTGGGTCACGACTACTGTAAGCCACCTTTCTGATGAAGATGATTAGTCACAAAATCATCTGAAATAGCTGATTCATTTGTGATCAGTCTCATTCACTCAGTCTGAGAGGATGCAGCGTTACAGTAGTCCATGTGAGCGACCCAGTTCATCACCAGCCTGTGGAAGTCATTCAAAGCGACTTTGTGGAGTTCTCCTGATGAACGTATCGTAACGTCTGGAGCGGTCTATGCACTACACCTACTACAATCATCCTAAGGTACTGAACAACACTGTGTTCATGACAGTGTTGTGGAAGCTGGTAAAGTGCTGCCCGACTCAGAGCCTGCAGAGCCTGCATCAGAGCACAGCAGGTTTGGTTTCCTGTTGTTGGACTTTGTTACAATAAACTGCAATTACAGAAATAACAGAACCAGGACAGTGGTATATGAACATCTTAGAGCTTAACATCAGTGTAAATAATATAATTCATATATTTAAAAGTACATGTTTCCTATTTTGTAATGATTTAATATTTCCTGACTATAGACAGCGCAGTGTGTTACTGATGGAGGCAAGAAAATACTTCAGCCAGCACTGGAGTATTTTAACACAAGGATCTGTACTTTTACTTCAGTAAATGATGTCTGTACTTTTCCCTCGTGTGTTTTATTGGGACGCTTCCCCCTGTAACCATGGTTTCCCACTATCCCTGTGCACATACTCCGATAAAGGAACGACACACGGTGCTGAGTTCACCGACCTGAGTTCGTGTCCCAGCAGCAGCTCGTTGTCCTCTCACAGGGCTGTTACGCTCATGGTCCAAATGTTTCAGCTAGCCGAGTTATCCGCCGGCAGACTGCAGCACAGCTGCTACAGTCACACAGGTTGGTGAATGACGTTTGTCGGACACGGACCAATCAACACGGGCGCTGACGTTAGTGGGACCCGCCGCGTGGATGCTCAGCTGTGACTGGTTCATACTATTAAGGTAGGTCGGTCACAAAAATCAGTTTCAAATGTGATTCGCCCGATAAACGTTTATCTTACGCTAATCCAAAAACACGCCGCAGGCTAACGACGCTGACGTCAGCGCTGCCGGAAATGACGGAAAATTACCGTCCAGGCCAATCAAATATTTGCGGTGGGGAGGGATTTGCGTTTACGACGTAGCTATGACGTAAGCGTTAATCCCCGGTCTCTGTTCGAAGGGAAACGTTTAAGTGGGCGGGCACATTTGCGTGACCATAGATTTTACGGTAGAAGTGAATCATCACACAGCAGCCTTTAACCTGCTGCACCGGCAGGACGAATAAATCACCCGTGACTAAGATGAGCTTCACCGTGGGAGAGCTCCAGTCACTGCCGGGTGTCTGTTACGGTCAGGAACAGGACGGGACACTCAGCTGTCTCCCGTCCAAGCATACCAACACCACACATCTAAGACGTCCCCGTGACTGCGGGATAAACGGCTCCTGTGTTTGCTAGTGTCACCGCCCAGTGTACACAACACGAGAACACACAATCCTATTATATGACAATACAAAATGAATCTTACCCATTGTGCTACACACGGGCGTTCATGGAAGTCCGAAAGCCCCACGCACGGCGCAACGACACTGTACTTCCGACTAGTAAGCCGCATACATGAGACCGGGTTGACTTTACTGAAAATACGTCGCCCCCTGCTGGAGAAACCGGAGATACACGTGGAAGTGGGAAAAACTCAGTGCGTTAAAACATTATCCTCTGATGTAAACAAACGCAAAAATGTAAACACGTCATAAAAACAGGATTTCCTATTAATCCTGTGAGAACAACTATTACATTGAATACACAGTTTTAAACAGGCCTACATTAACAGTGGGGACACTCCAGGCTGTGATACAAGTCTTCACATGATGCTAAAAGGTTTGACAATCTGAATGTTACAAAGGCAACAGCAAAAATGGAGATGGGTCTCTAAACGACGTCACCTAGAGATGTTCAGTCACACCAGTGCAACTGCACATTATCCTTCCAGTGTTTAGCAGGTGAAACCTTACAAGGAGCAGAACACTACCCAAAGGAAGCATTGCAGTACCATCTTCACTGCCTTGCTTTTTCCCACATGTCCCGATTCTGTCGCCACTCCAGGTAAACTTATCCAAGCAGCCATTCATATCACACCACGCTGACATGGCCACTGTAGTTTATTTGGGTGGTGGACAGGGATCGGCACTTTGCCCCTATACAACCCAGCATAGCTTTCAGCTGTATGTGCTCCAGTAGCTGTTCTGTGGGATCAGGCCACAGAGGCCAGGCTTCTCTGGGGTGTCTATGGGCAGAGGAATCCTGGTGGGCTGGTTATCTTTCTTTGGAGAACTTCACAAAAGGTTGAGTACCTACGTCAAACGCTGCTTTCTTTGGCCTTTAATCACAGATTGAACTAACAACATGAGAACAAACTGTGTGGCTAGTAGCAAAATGCCTAAAGATCCAATTACAATGGTTTATTTGCCTTGTCTGTCATAGAATTCCATCTAAATCTAGACAACACTGATTCATTCGTTCAGTTAGGTGATAATTGATTCATAGGTCATGTAGCTAAACAACATGCTTTCTGAAAACTGTACAAAGACTGGATAAAAACTGAGTGCAAAAGCAGGCACTGTCCAAAGAGACACTTTGAAAGTCTGTCCAACTATTGCTCAAGACCATGTGTCGAACTCCAGGCCTCGAGGGCCGGTGTCCTGCAGGTTTTAGATGTGTCCTTGATCCAACACAGCTGATTCAAATTGCTAAATTACTTCCTCAACATGTCTCGTAGTTCTCCAGAAACCTGCTAATAAACTAATCATGTGATTCAGGTGTGTTGACCCAGGGTGATATCTAAAACCTGCAGGACCCTGCCCCTCGAGGCCTGGAGTTCGACACCCCTGCTCAAGACCAATTACAAGAAAGTCAGTTCATTGGAAACAAAATACAAACAAATTCAAAACTTTTGCTCAATATGACAGTAAACACAGATTCAGAAATGATACAATTCAGGTTTTAATTGTTGACTCTTGTTGACCCAGTGAGGTCACCTCCTAGTTATGGTCCTTCATCCACTGTTCAGTCCAATGCACTATCTGCTCCAGGTTGTGCTCCATGTCCTCAGGAGTGTTGCTGGGAAGTTGGTGGACAATCTCCTTACTGTAGGCCTCCATGGCTTCCTCATAGATGGTCTGGAAGATCTCACATTGCACATTGTCCTGCAGCTTTTTCCCCGTGTAGCCCCTTTCAGTCACAAAGAAGACAGGGACAACTTTGTTCAATGGTTAAAACGATGAATTATCACTCAAATACAAAGAGACAGGGAACCAGACACGGTGGCTGCAGACGAGTTCCTGGAAGTTCTCATTTTTACAGCTTTCTTAAGGAAAAAAAAAAGACGAGTCTCACAGCACTTGCTATTTCTGGAAACTGGATGGCTCAGCCAGATGTTCACAGTCATTATCCAGGAGTAGAGAATGACTGTGATGCCTATGATAGAGCTACATTTACCACAAGCAGTGACAGCTCTGCTCTCGTCTGTATGCAGAAGGTGCTGAAGCTGGTTAGAGCTTGGAGCTGCAGTCAGCCATGTGTCTTAGCTCCCAGCCACAGAGGCATCAAGTGTTTGTCCAAGCAGACTGTGTCACAACTTCAAAAGCACCGTTTTAAATTCAAACTGTTAATAGCTGCCATATGCTACGTAATAATTCAATGACAAAACCAGTGTAGAGTACTGCAGGCTAACACTGTAGTGAAGAACTATCACATTATTTAACTATGATTCATTCATGAATCAGAAATCATCGTTTTCACTTCAGCAACAAATGTATTTCCCTCCAAATCAAACGCTGTCATGTTGCAGCCTCATTTCAAAACTCTTCAAATTCCATTCGCACCTGTAAAAAAGGGCTTTGCTTTAAATTCTTCCAAATGTATTAAAAGCAAAAACATGTAGCTAACAGGGCAACGATACACACAATTCACGGTTCGATATTTTTTCGATACGAAAAAGTGTTCATGCCCTTTTTTAATTTGTCACTTATCAGAATTATAAATATATATTTTAACTCAAAAGTACAGTTTTTAAATTTAATGTTGCTGAAACAACAAAGTAATAAAAAAAATAAATCTGATCGAGAAATCACTCATCTTTGGAAAAGAGAGTTTATTACAGAGAAATGTCTCTTTCCAAAATAAAAGCTATACTATCCGCTTCTTCTGGGCTATATTCTCAGCAGCATATTAAACATATCAGGTCCCCATAAGGAGAATCATGTGCTAACGGCTGTCTAAATGACTCGGGTAAAGTTTGTAGCATGCTGCTTGTTGTTTTTGTCTTTGCACTAGGATGATGTCGGCGTAAATGTGCAGTCATATTCGTTGTGTTCCCACTAGTGCTGTCAGCGTTAATCTGAAATGACGTTAACGCCACAACACGGCAAATCTCCGTTAACGAGCTACCGCGGATCGCCCCGTGCGTGGGGCTGGACGGCCAACACGTTAACGAGCTAACTGCGCTAACACACTAGCTCCCACCCATGTAATTGAGCATTGCGTGGCACATCCAACATACTGTTTTACTTTAGTCCATGACGCGCTTACCTTCAGGGTCATACGTCACATGAAAACCGAAATAGTTCCAAACGCCAGATCTGAATGAGGGTGGGGGAGGTTCAATTTGCCATGTTGCAAGGAGAGCTTAGCTTCTGTCAGCTAGCTTGCCCTGCGCTCAGTGAATCTGCCTTCGACTACTCCGCCTAGGCTGCACTGTCGGGCAGATCCACTGAGCGCTCAACACAGACAGCATCGTCAGAAGGAAAGTTGATAAAATAAATTATAAATTTTGTATATGTATGTATTTTCATACATATGCGTACCGAACCGAAAGCACTGTATCGAACGGTTCAATATCGATACGAGTATCGTTGCACCCCTAGTAGATAAGTAATCACAGTCGTCCTGTTTTCACTGATCATCTGTCAGATGTTTCTGTAAGTTGGCTGAATCCACCTGTTTGAAATCCAGTTGACCGGACGTGGACACACACCTGTCTATATAAGGTCCCATAGGTGACAGTAAACGTCAGAGCACAAACCAGTCCATGGAGTGTAAGGAACTGTCTGAGACCACAGAGGACTGTATCTGCACCCAGAGCCACCAACAAATGAACCAGCGGGACTCTTCCAATCTGAGCGATTCATTCAGAAAGGGCTTAGTCAGGGAGGTGACCAAGAACCCGATGATCCCTCTGACAGAGCTCCGGTGTGGCTTTGTGGAGAGAGGATAACCTTCAATCAGCCCTGAAGTGGCCAGACAGAAGCTGCTCCTTGGTTAAAGGTACATGACAGCCCACTGGGAATTGGCCAATTGTCACCTGAAGGACTCAGACCACGAGAAACTGAAGTGTCTGGTCTGATGAAACAAAGACTGAACCACACAGCCAAGATAACAAAGGAGTGACTTTGGGACCATGCTGTCCTTGAGTGACCCATCTGGAGCCCAGTGAGCCCCACCGAACATCTCTGCACAGGCCTGATAAAGCTGATGGAGGTTCTGCAAAGAAATCTGGGAAAAATGTCCAGAAATAGACACACCAGGCTCGTAGCGTCATACTCATACTGCCAAAGGTGACTCAACGTTTTGAGCAAAGGCTTATGCACATGTTAAATTTGTTTTTTTTATTTTTAATAAATCTGCAAGAATTTCAGCTTGTGTTACTTTGTCATTCTGAGGTCTTATGTGAACACTGAGTGTAGTCCACTGTGGAGCAAGCCTGTAACATGACTGCTGTGATGACTGCTCTGTGAGCAGAAACAAACCCAGGTGTTGTTACCTGGCCTCCAGTCGAGTGTACAGCTGGGTGTTGTCTGTGCGCAGGACAAAAACGATGTCGAACCAGCGCTCGGGGAACAGGTCACAGCCGTGATAGTCCACGATCACGCCTCCTTCACTCATCTTTTCATCCAGCTCATCCACCACCTGCAGAACACCAACAAGCTCCAACACTGACACTCGATGCACTCCCTCAATCTACCTGCACCGTTAGCAAAACGTTTGTTTTGTCTGCAAGCAGCAAAATTCTGCTAGAAATAATAAAGAGAAATCCATCAACTTAGTGGAGAGGTGGGCTCTGAGAGGGGGAACCATCAAAGTGTGCTGTGGCAAAATATCCAGACATTTATCATTTGTTGTAATAATGATATTTAATAAAGCTCAGCACATTAACAGCTGTGGACAGATTCACAGGCCCTCTTTCTTCCCCTGTTTTAATGATGGAGAGAAATGTGTCTCCAAAAGGCTGCAGATGCTTACAATGTGCTCCACAGGCGTAAACTAAGATGTACACATGAACACACGCTCCGATCCATTTTACAAATGCATCCACCTGATCATTTATGCACAGTTATCACAAATCTGGTCATTTTCTCTTTCAAAAACCTTCCTGCTGCTGGTCTGTGGGTTGTTGTCAGACTGTGTTTGTGCTCATTGTTGGGCATTTAAAAAAAAAAAAAGTGGTTTGGATTTTCAGGAAGGAGTCGCTCTCATGACTCATCAAGTGATGTCACTGACTGAGTAACTGGTGGCAGGCTCTTTGAAAAAGTAGCAGGTAGCAGGTACTGGTGAATATAAATCTCTCTGCCTCAGACATCGTTGTGTTTCTCTGCTCTACAGTCCAGTGTGGAAGTTCACTCACCCTGTCCTCATCCAGAATGGGGCACTGGTACTCGTCATCATATCCATCAAACAGTTGTCCTGGAGGAAAAAATGATCCATGTTTCATATGCAGAGTTCAGATTCAGTGTGATTGAAAGCAGGGCCATCAACAGAATCACTGGCTGTAAATCACTTTGTGTAGACGAGTTAGTGAAAGTGTAATAATTGTACTGAGAACATGATTTCTGCTTTGGGTCACAGACACCGTGTGCTGTAAGTATAAGAACATGGAAAAGATGGTGCAGACAGCTGCACCTGGTCAGAGTGGACGGGTACAAATGCCAGGATGTTGATGGCTCCACCCTCGTGGAACACGAATCATGTGTGTGACATCAGAAGAAACAATAAGACCAGTCTGTTCCACTCATGTACCAGAGGGAATCTGTGGAGGCCACAGCAGCTGTGACAGCTGTCATCTCCACAGTCAGCCTTTGTGTCACAGCACTATTTCATTTAATCCCAAAGTTCTGAGTTTATTCTCAGAATGATCAGGAACACTTTGTCCCTAGCATGGTAGATGTTTCTGTCTTAATGTCCATTAGTTCCCAAAGTTCCTTTACCTTCCTGGGCCAGGTCTCCTATGTTGACATAGGTCAGCCCCGTGCGCTCGGCCAGTTCCTTTCCTAGAGTGGTTTTTCCAACTCCGGGAGTCCCTGTAGGAAGAAGAGTTAACAGCTGAATTCAAATTCAAAGTCTATATTAAAGATTTGACTTTACCCCATCTGGTGATGAGCATCCGATTGATTCTGCAGTAAAATGCTCAGTTTTGTTTTTCAACTACCCACCTGGCATTTAATAATTCAGTAGAAGTAAGAAATACAGTGATAGTGGTGCTACTGGGGGGTTTCAGCTGCTGGGAACCGTCTCTGCTGTGACTCAAGGCTATAAAGTAGTGATAGTGATGATATTTGAATCTTCTGTTGACCATACATCTAGTTTACCCATTTAACTCATAACTGACTTCAGGAGGCACAGACACTCCCCCCTCATTAAAAATGGAGAACGCCTTCAGGTTTCTGGGCGCCAACATCTCAGCTGGACCCATCACCCTGGTGAAGAAGGCCCAGAAGCAGCTACACTTCCTCAGGAAGAAGAACCTGGACCAGGAGCTGCTGCTGGCCTTCTACTGCTCCTCAGTGGAGCGCGTGCTCTCCTACTGCCTGGTGTTTGGTACTCAAGACCCACTGCTGAGAAGAGGAAGGCTGCACAGAGGATACTTAACACTGACCAAGAAAGTCACTGGCTGCCCTCTGCCACCCCCGGAGACCATCGCCAGATCCTCCTGTCTCAGGAAAACTAGGGCCATTACAGGTGAGCCCGGGCACCCTGCTGCGCTCTGGTTGGTGCCTCAGGTCAATCAGGTCCACACGAGCCCCCCCATTGGAAGTCCCAGGTTATCATGACATTAGTGGTTATTGTACCTTTGATTATATAACGGGTTGGTAGGTTACTCACATGCTTAAAGGTGGAACTATAGTAAAGATAAATGATAGATGCTACATGGACCTGAAGCTGCTGGAACACCTTCAGTGTGCTCTGGCATTCATTCTAAGAGTAAGCACAATCTAACGCCCCGCTCCAAAACACAGCACTTCATCCTCCCCCGTGTGCACGGAGGCATTGTGGGACACGGCAGCTCCACGCGAACAGACGTTTCACCGTATAATCAGTCAGAATAACTTTGGTGTGCTGACACGTGGGTCCAAGGGGCAAACGCTCCAGTATACCCCACGACATAATTACTCGGGTTGTTCATCATGTCACCCCTCTGTGTGCGTGGGACGGGTACATATCTAACAGCATCCAAATACACTGTACACCATTTTCATCATCGTTATTATCGCAGCTGCAGCTTCACAGGACGCGATGGCTGAGATCAGACCACATGGACTCAGCTCCCATGATTACAAACATGTTGAACACCTACTAACTACCCAACATTTAACCGCAGCGCAGGCTTCACGTCTGCAGTAGGGTAACTGCAGCGAGTAACCAGGTGGATAAATGTACCGAACCTGTCAGCAGGATGTTCGGTTGCTTCTTCGTCTTCATAGCTCCAGCAGACACGTGTTTGATGATCGACACCTGAAAGTCAGAGCAGTGCTGTTATTCCTCCATGTCATTCCAGTCAGACCAGTAACGGCCAGAGTTAACTAACAAACCTGGAAAACTGGGAACCAGTTCGATGTAAACTTTGTTTTGTTGTACGCTATAACCGGACTGATTCCACTGCCGTAAACTGAAGCTTTACGTCAATATTACGTCAGTGAGCAGTCAGTTAGCGACAGTTAGACAATTAGTTGTCGGAGTTTAAATTTTACAGCTCCGCACGAAGTGTGTGGGAAACATACGTGTGATTGGTTCAAACTGAAGTTTCCATTGTGCCCGGACAAGAGTGCGAATCTCTGAAAAGCCAGCTGTGTTTCGCACGAGGTAAAGCGAAGTTATATTAGCTTAACAGAAGCTGCCGTCCGAATATAAACTGTGAAATGTGTAATTAGCTAAACAACAGTAGCCCGAGAGACGTTTGTTATGAGTTTGACACTCGACAGAGGTCCTGGAGTCTGGTCCTGTGGCTTAACTAACAGACGCAGTAAGTTAGAGATGTTGTCCCGAGTGCTGCGATATTTACGGGCTGTTTTCTCTCTCGTTTCGTCGCCAGCAGCTGTTCAGGTCTCCGGTCCTTCACTAATATACTGTTCTCTATGGGAAACAGCAGCTTTAAGGATGAACAAGCTTGTGGCAGATAAAGCTACTGAGCGCAGGGTAAGTAACACAGTGGATTTGAAGGGAGCCCGGGGTCAGTGGGGTCACACTGCAAACAGGAAGTATAGAAACCGTTACTTTATTACAAAGTGCTTCCATTTACATAATCCACGTCCATATGACGTTGTTTGCATGAGCAGTGTCCAGAGTAGAGTTTCAGTGTTCATTTCTGTTTGGGTTAAATATATTTATTTCACTAAACTTCGCAAAACTCTGACGCTTCTTTCATACAGCCCAACCAGCACTGACCCAACCATTATTTAGGATCGTACAGTAATCACTCTGATGTGCTAATACACACCTCAAATACTTAAGACCAGCAAACTGTCAAATGTTCTGGTCACACTTGATTCCTGTGGAAGCAGTAAGGTTGTATTAGTATGTCAGAGGACTGCATGGATCCTGCTGAAAGCTGTGTTTTCCACATAGCTGTACCTGTTCAGGTATCACCTGCATCTCACATGTTTATGAAGGAATGTAATCTTTCCCCGACCTGATTCACGTACCATTATTTTGAGGTACTAGCTCTCCATTAAGCACAGAGCAGCCAAGTACCTCTTTTGTCATGTTTTGCATCAATTAATTATGTATTTTTTGTACTTCGTGTTAGGGCTGGGCCATATCATCATATATCGTTCACAGTAATACCGGTACAATGTTGGGCAGCGATATGAAAATAAAATATCGCGATACAATATGAGTAAAACCGCATGTGCAGTGCCTTTGTTTTCATACGCACATGGCGGAAAAAGCATGGCGGTGATGGCGAATGAGGAGGGCAAAAGTGGATCGTTGAATGAAACGATGTAGCTTTAATGCACATAAAAAACAGCTGCTTGTTTAAGTGAAAATAATTGATGTTTTTTTGGGGTTTGTTTTGCACTAGTAAAGTTGAGGAGTTGTAAAGTATTTTCTCGTGTCAGTTATATCGTTATCACAAATTTTCAAATGTATATCGTGATAAATATTTTTGGTCATATTGTCCTGCTCTACTTCCTATATATATCACAGGCAAACCATTGGGTGGATCCGTCCTTTATTGATTTGAGAGAGGAATGTTCTTCTCTTTCTGGAAGAAGAAATGGCAACCCTGTTTTATGCTCCAAGGCTGAGATAAAGAGGAAGAGGAAAAGAGAAGCTAGCGTCTCCTACCTGCTGAAAGAGTCGTCTCAACTGGACCAGAATGAGCCCTGGGTGGACAAATACTCACCCCGCTCACAGGTCAGCACCTTTGCTTGTCATGTACAAACTGCCCTTCACAACACAGTCCACCCACAACAGCTCAGGTTCAAGTCCGGCATGCTGTCATGAGCTTTTAAGGCCCTGCATAGCACGATGGAGTCCCCTGATGGGAAACCTTCTACCCACTCAGGGTCTCACCAGGGGTAACTGTAGACTGGAACAGAGTCCAGTCACAGAAAGACCCACTTTTTAATCAGAATAAAGCATCAGGACAGTAAATTTTGATCTGTTGGTCAGTTTCAATTGCTTTGGTGTTAGTGAAATTAGTAACAGGTGTGCCAGAGGGGCAACAACGAGACAACTCCCAAAACGAGAGTGGTTTTAAGGGCGGAGGTCCCTGATAGTTAGCTCCTCATCTTTTTTGTTTTTGCACTAGTTTTGCATTTGTCTGGGCTCGTTGTCTCAACCAGTAACATGAGGTGACACCTGGACCCTACAGAGGCTGTACAGGTAGTCATGCTCCAGGATCAATACACTAGCATTGCTGCATCTCCCAGCACAGCTGGAGGAGATTCCAGGAGACTGGCAGTTCTTCTAGGGGAGGAGGACAAGGCTGTAAAGGTCCTTAACCTATCAGCAGGGCCAGTATCGATGAGCATTGTCAGAGCTACAAAAAAATGTTTCTGACCAAACAATCAGAATTAGACTTCCGAGGGTCAGCCGAGGCCCCGGTGTCTTCTAGTGGACCCTGTGCTCACTGCCTGGCACCATGAAGCCTGATTGGCATTTACCATCGAGTTCCAGAATTGGCACCTCTGACGCCAGGTCATTTTCAAAGATGAGAGCAGGCTTAGAGCTGAAAGCACATGTGGTAGACATAATGGGTCTCGAGAACCTGTGGAGAACATCCCTGTAAAGTCATTCAGCATGACTGGTTTGCTGGTGGTTCAGCGGTGTCTGAGGAGGTATACCCATGGAGGGACGCGCAGACCTCTGCAGCGTGAGCAACAGCGCCCTGGCTGCCATTAGGTGCTGGGCTGAAACCCTTGGACCTATGGTCAGACTGTATGCTGGTGCAGTGGGCTCCTCTTGGTGCACAGCAATGCCCAGCCTCATGTGGTGAGAGTATGCAGTCGTTCCTGGAGGATGAAGGGATTCATAGTATTGACTGGCCCCCACGCTGAATGACACCAATCCAAAAGAACACCTCTGGGATATTATGGCTACGTTCACACTGCAGGCGAAAGACTTTTCTGACCCTGTGCGACCCATCTATCCGATCATGGTGTGACAGTGTGAACGGCACAAATCCGATCTGGGTCACTTTGGTATGTGGTGCTGAATACGATACAAATCTGCGACTGCTGTTTGACGGTCACGTCGCATTAAATCCGTCTTTTACGTCACTGACACAAGACAGACGCCAACTATCAGCGCCGGAGAAGACATCGCGAACGCTTCCTGTCCATCCGGTGAAACTGTTGGGAAGACAACGCTGGAGAAACGTGAACATTTTCTTTGTTCTGTATAATCTGCAGATTCTGACAGAAATCTGCAGCTATCCTTTGAAGCAGCGCTCCTCTAAAACAGCAATAAGGATCATTATTAGACCCAATGTAGATAACACAATAACTTTACAACTTTAAGCAAAAATTGGGAAACGTAAAGTCCGAAGTCTTTATATTAAGGCCGTCAGTCACACAACACTGTTGTTCTGGGTCTAAACAGAGCGCGTTGTGTGTGACGTCTTCTTTTGCGCCGCTTTGAGCGTTCACACTAGAGCGCGTTTGCTGTCACATTTTATTTGTAGTGTGAAGAAGCAGACAGAATCGCATTTGATCCAAAAATCTGAATTGAGCTTTAAGACCTGCAGAGTGAACGTAGCCTCAGTTTTTGTTCCATCTGCCAGCGAGCAGCTGTCCATGAGCTCAGTGATGTCTGAGGAGGTCTCCCACAGCTCTGTCATCTCACAGAGCATGCTGTGACATTGCCAGGTTTGCCTGCAGGGGCCATTACAAACTAGCCTGTCACATCATTTTTCCACTTTGACTTTGGGGTGTCTGTAGACTGATCTTGACTTCCTTTAATTCCTGACACGTTACACAGTCAGTGTAGATCTACAGGACGATTTCTCCCCATTGAGATCTGATGCTTTCAATGTGTTCCTTTCATGTTTTGAACAGTATGTTTGTAGGTTTGGCCAATCAGCACTTGGGAGAAGTTCATTTGAAGTTTAAAGGCCTTGTGAGACTAAATCTGTATTAATGTTTATTATCAGTTGTTGCAGGTTTGATTGTGTTTGTGTGGAAGATGAACGATCCCGTCCTGTGTTTGTGACGAGGTATTAGCGCTGACTGTGTACTAGGGGTGGGGGGAAAAATCGATACTGTGTAGCATCGTGATATTTTGTTTGCTAATAATGTATCGATACAGGCAGAAATCGATATTTTGTTACAAAAAAGGTTTTTGTGCTCTGAGCACGTTGATCCTTTTTCTGAGCAAGAATCCTGACACTGTCCAAATGTGTTTAACTTTTTTTGGCAGCAATAAACATGACAGTTTACTTATTTTAATTTAAGACATGTTTTATTTTAATTAAGTTTAAAACTTTTTTATTTAATGTAAAATTATATTTTGTTTTAATTTACTTTCAAATTCTTCAGTTGCTGAAGGGGCTGCATAGTTTTCATATTGCATAGTTCAGAATAGCTGTAATTGTACCAGATGGTTGCATTCAGTTAAGTTGGACTAGACTGTAATACAAACCGTTCAGTTTGTCAACAATAAAACTGAAATGAGAGAAAGACTGAGTGCGAGACTTTGATATTAGATAAAATGAATATTGATAAAGTTTACCTTTATGTACAGAATCTGAATATCGCAAAATATTTTAAAAAATTGCAATAATATCGTATCGTGGGATGTATGGTGATTCCCACCTCTACTGTGTACTGAGCGGTTTATGCTACAGTGTGTCCATCTGTGTAGGCTGAACTAGCTGTCCACAAGAAGAAGATGGAGGAAGTTGAGAAGTGGATCAGAGTTCACACCAACACAAAGGTAACTACGCTTTGCATTCGTACACTGAGTGAAGTAATCACGTTCAAGCAGTTCATGCTCTGATTTTTCTTTGAGTAACAGAGATAATAATGCTTCATCCTCCCTGACAAAAAGAAAATGAGTGATTGCTGGTGGAAAACGTCCCCTGTGTGGACACGTGGCTCAGCCACAGCCTGAGTTCTGATCATTTTAGGCCCTGTTGTCTGAGGAGGCTGT